GAAGGGGCGGCTGAAGGTGGTGGCCCCATTTAAGGGGTTGGGGTGGTTGGAGATAGGAGATTGTGTTGTCACTATCAGCAATTCACATTGTTCAGCCTTTTCTGGAAAGCTGCCTTATGGTTGACAACCTCAGGAGGTTTGTCAGACATGTTCAATTGGGAGAAGACCCCAGGGCAGCCTCAGGACTTGTGATGATTCCACCTTGTCCTGCCATGCCAGTCATGTTAGTTTTTTCCTTTCTGCCAGTCCTGTTAATCAGATTCACCCACTTCACCTGAGACCTGCCTGATTGTCTCCTTGCTTCACCTGTGTGCTCCTCCTTTCAAGCAAAGCTCAGGCTCTGTCTCCCTGCCAGAAGATCGACAGCCTTGTGCCAGTGGAGACTCCAGCCATATTTTCAACCAAGCCTTTTGACTTTTGACCACGTTTTCTGTCCACGGGTTCTGCCTGCCTTGTCCCTCACGGATTCTCTCGCCCATCTGTGATCCGGACACCGACCTTGGCTCTACCCTTGACTACTGATCCCTGCTCTACCCCCTGATAAGTGTTACTGACGACTTCTGCCTGTTTGTGTGTGACCTTGCCTGCACCTCAGTCTGACATTAGATTTTTGGATACTTCAACTTCTGTGGGTGGTACTAATTGTCTGTGTCGTTTTGAGGAGAGGAGTTGAATCCACAGACCAAAGAGGAGCTCCCAAAGCAGACACAGAGACAGTCCCGCCCCCTCTCCCTGTCATCGCAGCATATGCTGCTCCGTCTCCAGTTTTCCTATCAGCAGAATCTTCTGCGATTCTCTGATTCTCCCACATTTTAAATAAAAAGACATTCTTTAACGTTTTACTGCTGTCTTCTGGCTGAATTTCCGGGTCTTCAGGTTATACCCATTACAGAACTAAGTGGAATGATATTTTATCTTCTCTGGCCTGCAGAAGAGTCAGGGTTCAGGTAGAGCTGAAAAGTGATGCAGGGCAAGGGGTGTCTGGGTTTCCGTCGTGCGCCTGAGACCGTCACAGCCCGACTTCGGGTGGATGTTGGTACAGAAACCACCTGAAGCACCTTCCCTTCAAAGGTCTCATCAGATTTTTCTACAGCACAGTTTGAAGCTGCTCTACTTGTAAACAAATTCCCAAGAACAGAAACAAAATTCGAGTCTCGTTACGAGGACAGAGCAAAAGTATCACACATGAGCGTATCTGCAGTCTGTCCCAGCTTGCAAAATCCTGTTAAACTAACAAATGTTCAGTGGGAAAAGCAGAGCCTCTGGGCATGCTCTCACTGAGGGACAACGTGGTTCTTTCTATTAATAGCTCTTTGGAATATAAATCCTGCCCTGTTATTGTAGCAGCCAAAGGCAGACCTTTGTGCAGCTCTGGGATAATCACGCTGTTATCTCTCATGTCTGTCTCCCAGTTTCATTGTCTCCTCCAACGATCTCTGCTCCTGAAGTCTCAGAGGCCACAGATCAGGGTTAAAGAGCAAACATGATCAAACAGCTGCAAAGAACTGATAAAACCCTGATATAATTCACTCGTCACACATGTTCAGATATTTCTGCATCCATGCTAAACGCCATCACAATCATAAGTGATGAAAAATAAACCCTGAAAAGTTTCATCATTCCTCAGACTTCCGTCAACTGGAAACAGAACAAAGTGAGGAGGAAAACCAGGATTTGGAAAAGTATGTTGTACAAGATGGACCGCTGTATTTCATTGATCCAATGCAACAATGTGGTCTCCTTCCACTCAAGCAGATAAAACTTTTCGGTCCTACTGCACTCCGTGGTTATCTGCTCAAATATTACCATGATCATCCTGCAGCCGGACATCTGCGCATCGCAAAAACACTGGCACGCCTGCGACTTAGATTCTTCTGGCCAAGCATGAACTCTGATGTTAAAAAGTACGTGGTCTCATGTTCTCTGTGTCAAACCACCAAGCCAAGTCAAAGAAAAACATCAGGCCTTATGATCCCCATCCAACCACAGAGACCCTGGGAATATGCAGGGGTGGATTATATTGGTCCTCTACCTCGTACTCAAAGAGGAAATGCATGTATCCTTGTTTTTGTTGACTATTTCTCAAAATGGGTTGAGGTCAGTGATGTCTGAGAAGCCACAGCTCAAGTTGCTGCTAATAAGTTCATTACTGACATTTTTGCTTGACATGGTTCTCCATCTCACCTTATCTCAACTGTTCAAACATGTCGTGTCAACACTTGGAACTGAACACAGACTAACAACTGCATACCATCCCCAAACCAATGAAACAGAACGTGTGAATCGCACTTTGAAAGCAGCCATCCGTGCATATGTTGAGGACAAACACACGTCTTGGGACAAATATCTTCCTCAAAACTCTTTTGCACTTCGTACTGCACCTCATGAAAGCACGGGCCAGAGCCCATCCATGATGCTCTATGGACGAGAGATGGACACGCCCTTGGACCTCATCACTCAACCCTCCTGGGAAGGAGTAAATGAATCTGAAACTTCCTACCCAGATGAACTGAGAGCTTTGCTTCGGGATGCTCATGAACATGCCCACGCAGTCTTGTCAGAGAGTCACAAAAGGAGAAAGCATTATTATGACCTCAGACGCCGCCCAGTCTCACATGAAATTGGAGATCTGGTCAGAGTTAAATCACATCCAAAGTCAGATGCATCATCCAACTTTGCAGCAAAGTTGGCACCCCTGTACACCGGTCCCTAGATGTCTGATCTAAACTACTGTCTGACCACAGTGGACACTGGAGAGAAAGCTGGAGTTGGCCACATTGCAAACCTACAACATTTCCACACCTGGGCCACAGCTTTGTGCAATAAACACTGAAAGACTCCTGCAGTTTTGGACATCAGTCAGCCAGTCAACAGTTTGTCTCCTGATCTGTTGGACTCAGACTCTGCTGAATGTCAGGTTGCTGACACAAACACTGATATTGTTTTTAAGGACATCCCAACTGAAACTGACTCTGACTATGTTGATCCTGTCCCCCTTTTCTTCGACCAAGACTCTGTTCAAAACACTGCTGACATTGCTCCAGAACCGGATGTTACTAGTTCACCCCCTGCTGACGATAAGCGTTCTGTTGAAGGTTATAACCTCAGACCGAGACGTGTTCCTAGAGTCACCACAGACTGGTCGTCAAATAGGTGGACCAACCCTTTGCATCCTGACAGGACTGACCTGAAGTGAACTTATTTGTATTTCATGTGTTTACTGTAGTTAGATGTTGTAACATGACTACTGGCTCAGTTTTCTAAAGTTCATGTTGGTTCTGCTTTCATACTAACTGCTGACTGTTGCAGCTTCAAATAAATAAAATAATAAATAAATAAAAGAAAGGAAACTTCATTATGTGATTGTCCTGAATATTTAAGTTTATTTCTGCTACGATATCTGTCAAAAGTGAGTTTCACCATGGGAAAAACTGTCATGTATGTCAGTTTGTCAATATTACTCTGCACATTTCCTTATTTGGTTTCAACATCTTATGCTGCCTATCCATGTACGGAAGCTCATAAGGTTTGGACTGTGCCTGTGCTGTGTAGGGCTGAGGACAGCCTTTGTTTAACCGGGGGGAATATGTAACAGCCGTAAGTGTGTGGTCTCTTTAAGACAGCCGAAGTCGCTTTGTTGGTGAGGTCACAGTATGTGCCGCTACCTGCCCGCGCTGGCTGAACGTGGGAGAAGCGTGCTGCTGATGGACCTGGACTGAACTTTCCCTGCCTAACTCCAGTAGCGTTACGGGTTGTTTGAACTCTGCTTGTTTCATGTATGACTAGAATAGCAGCCGTTCAACCGGGCATTATATGGTTGTTGAAGAGAGTGTGTTTATTAAAGGACAGACACTGTGGGTTTCCCCAGAACAGGAGTGGTTGCGAGTTATTCCCTGTCCGGTAAAGTGTTTCTACCGCTCCCTCTCGGCCGTCGAACACAGCCCAGACGTTACAGTGCCCAGAAAGCCTCACCAGGGAGGCATCCTAACTAGGTGCCCAACCCACCTCAAATGGCTCCTCTCAGTGTTCTGGCTTTCAAGTCCAACCCCACTACAGGACGTTACATATTGCAGTTCTCTATTATTGAGATGTTATTTGTCGACTAAGAAGTCTGGACTGAACATGAACACTGTTCTTGATCATTGGAGAAGCATGGCGGCTTTTGAATCAATAGCTTTTCACTCTACCCTGCTGGATGTAATTACTTGAGTGGTAATTGGTTTCAATCCAAATGTAAACATTACTAAACCCGTTTCTCTCTGAATAATGCTGATAACAAGAACGATGCCCAAGTTCTTTAGGACACTGGTGTCACGTTGAAAGGACTGTTTGGAGGATGGTTCGGACCCAAAATGCAAATACCCAGGATGACACGAGGCAGGAGTAGATAAAGAAAAATCCTTTTATTTTAGGATGAACCCAAAACGAACATAAAACCAAAAGGGGCAGGAAGCCAAAGCCCAAAAATGCAGGGGATGATCAGGAGATCCAAAACCACAAAAGGAACGAGCAGGACTGACAGAATAAGTCACACTGACAGCAACAATGGACCGACAAGAACAATGAGACAAGGAGAGGCTTTATACACTGGGGCTGGAGTGATAGGAGACGAGGAGCAGGTGTGTGGGGAACTGGCACAGGTGAAAGCACTAATGAGGACAGGAGCAGAGCAGGACACCAGACCTGACAGGGAAGGACACACACACACACACACACACACACACACACACACACACACACACACACACACACACACACACACACACACACACACACACACACACACACTGAGCTGGGGACAAAAAGGCTGGAGCTGCAAGAGAAGACACATAAATGAGATGCAGATAAAGGACACATGAGGGCGCTTAGAGACCCAAAATGGGAACCTAGAGGAAGGAGAAAACATGAGGGAAGACACAGACACAGACCATGACAATTGGTAAGTTAGAAAAACGAAGGAAACTCATAAACCTTCAGCAGGGACTGAACAGACACAGTGATTTTACATTCAGTTTCTTGGTTTATTGTTTAAAGACTAGGTTAGCAGGTTTGAGTTGAAGATAAAGTTGAACAAAGATATCAGCTCAGTAAGACATGTGACATCACTGCTGTGACCGGTCTGCAGCCAAACATCAATCAAGATGCAACCAAAATGTCTACTGATCAAACTGCTTGTGTGTTTGAATCAGAGTGGATGTGCACAATGGTCAGCACATAGTAGGTCAGCTTATTAAGGTATTGATTGCTACAGGAATAGGCATGAGTTTTGGCATGCATTGGAAAATCATTCAAACAGATTGAGAGTGGGTGTTCGTGTTGGCTGACCTTTGGCCAGAGGCTAAAACTTCACTTGGTAACAGTCCACTTCTTCATAATCTGAGATTTCTTTAACATGCAGCAAAAAGGAAAAAAGAACAGGAATAGCAGAAAACAAATGCACGACCAAAAAATACATCAAATGTACATTTGGGAAGTCTGATCTATACAGCAAGTTTTTTACAGTACCTCTCATTTTGCTTCAGGAAGCATGCAGTGACATCAGTTACTTCAAGGTAAATATTGTAAACAAATATGTACATTTAGTAATTATCTATTTAAAACTATTATTTCAAAAATAGTGTAAACATGCACTCTTAGACCACTGAGTTCCCACACTGCCCGTTAAGAGAATAGACTGATATGTGGTGTTATCCAGGTATATATAAACTGCTGCACATTCATCTAGATTCACCATGATGGACAACATGATGGAAAACCTCCTCAGGGTTTGGTTTCATACCAGAGGGTTGACTCAGAGGGTCTTAAAGGGAATCAGGCTATGAAGGCACCAGTGCCTAACCCTACAGAGGAGCTCATCACAACAACTCTCCATAAAACACCTTTTCCAAAAATGCCCAAATTACATCACATAAAGCATTTTGTTTAAAACTCATTAGAATTATTGGTTACGATTCTTTTGGTCCAAAAACGTTCGACAAACTAATACTTTAGTTCCCTTTTTTTAAGAGTTCCCAGTCACAATCAGAATTAGACATGCTACTTTAGCCCTGCTACCTTACACATTCTCTTGACCTGCTACCTTATGCTGCTTACACATAGAAAATAAATTGCACATGCGGGAACTCCCCGCTGGTTGATTCTACTCGCCAATTAGAGTCGGTAGGAGAGACTTTCAGTTGGCCAATCTATCCGCAATGTCACCTCAGTCCAACTTGTGCCTCTGGGTGGAGGTCTGAAAAAAAGAGTCGCCTCAGAATGGAAAGTCATATGTGACCCAAATGTGAAACCAAATTCCGGTCCTGTACCCAACCATACTGATCCTAATTTGTAAGCACCATTAGACCTTTTATCTTAGACCTGCCACCTTAGACCTGGTACTTAAGACCTGTATGCTGCCATTATACCTGCTAACTAGGACCTGCTATCTTGGACCTGTCACCATAGACCTGCTACATAAGACCTCAACCGTACACATTCTATATTATACCTAGGACCTGCTACCTTAGACCTTCTGTCTTGGACCTGCTACCTTAGACCTTACACTTCAGTGAAGTCGTCTATACAGTGGTTGAAACATAAACAGAAAACATTAATACCTTGTAACATCTGGCTTTTAATTGAAATGAGAAATCTGAAGCAACCATGTTTGTTTATTTGTTCTGATCACCTGCTACTAGCTTAGAGTGGGCCCAGCTCTGTTTCTCTATAAAAACACTAACATAGATTCCTACATGCTGATGCTTATTTTATTTAGTCTCACTCTTTAAAACATATGTTTAGTTCTACTTTAAAAACTGACAATAATCTCTTTCTAGTATTCCTTAAAGTATGTATAAAAGCACTCAGATGGTCTTGGAGTCATGAGTCTTTCGGCACAGTTTTACTTTTTGCTTGGTTTAAGTCAAGTAGTTTACGAAATGTCTGGAGTTTTATTTTTATATCAGGTCCAAAGAATGTGGAAAAATGTCTGTCCTAATAGAGACAATCACATTGGTTCCTTTTGATAACTTTAATTACTTTACAAAGGGTAAATGCTCTTATTTTTTGAACATCTTCCTACTAAAATTTTTCATGAAACATAGAATTATGGTTACAAAATTTTATGAAGGGATCTTAACTGAAAATGGACACACACAGGGATCTATAGCTGGGCCTCAGGCCTGTTCTTGAACATTGGCATAGGTTCCAAAAAGACTACATTTGGAAGCTGAATGCAGACTTTAAAGTGTGTTAATGAGCCTTTGCTAACCAACAATTAATGCTCTGTTGATTGTGACTTCTGTACTTATTACTGACTGATAATCAACAAGGACAGAGCTGTTGGGCAGAAATACAGACAGCCTTTAGGTCAAAAGAAATGATGCATCACAAAAAAATTAAGCTAATGTTATTAGAAAGTAGAAAACTGCCTCTAGAGACTAAATGTAGCAGTTGGACAAATACCCGAGCCAAAGCTGCTGCGTTATCAACAAGCTAATAAAAACACCCTAAAGTAGTTTATGTGAGCTAGATCTATTCTCTAGAAATACAACTATAGTTTATGTACACCAAACTCTAAATATGTTATTGGACTTGTGTTATAGAGATATTCTTTATAACACTAAACTGAGTCCCATTCTTAATCATTGTGGTGTTTCTTACTCTATCATCTTGTTTTTGCTGTTTTGGGGGCACATTATCAGCACACATGTGACACAAATGTAAGTATTGATAGAGAGAAGACCCTTCTTGAAGTGACAGGAGAAACTGTACCACAGCCACACCGCATCCATACTGCACTCGTCCCACTGCTGCACAACATCTGCACCGGCTGCATCCGTACCGCATCTGCACCGCATCCGGACCACATCCGTACTGTACCCGTCCCGCAGCTGCACCGCATCCATACTGCAGACTCAACTGGGAATATAGTATATGATCCTGAAAGAATAAACAACACTTCCATCTTTTAGTTCTTTTTAAAACACAAAGGTTTTATTTACCTGCAACGTTTCGTTTGCGGCTGCAAACTTCTGTCAGCCTGACAGATATTCTGCTGAGATGGGACTGGGTTGGTGACCTCTGACTTTGTCGAGCTCTGCGATGCTGCTGCTTTGGGCCCTGGCAAGATGGGCTGGGGTCTCCATGCCCTGGGAAGCATTTTGGGAACGAAGGTGCCTATTGCGACCAGTGGGGGAGATGGCTCCCTGGATGGCTTAGCCCAACCGGCCATTCCTCCCCATCCCCATACATTTTTCTCCTCCTGCTCCTTCACATCATCACACAATCATGCACATAGAACCTTGGGGGGTGAGCAAGTCAGGGGTGTGGGTATGGACCCCATTTCAGCATTCCTGTGGCAACATGCCCCCTAATTTCATTTGCACATTAAACACTTCCACCAATGACATTCCACGCAAACACACACTTAGGGCCTTGGGAGTGAGCACACAACGGCATTTGGCAAGGGGATCTTTCAGCCTCATCCCAAGTGCCGGTGTCCACTTCCAATTTTAAACAGCACTTAGACACAGAGGGCTGTGGGGGGAAGTGGGGTTGTGTGGTTGCATCAGCTGGCGTAGGCCAGAAAATGCCTGCACTGCCTGCTCACCACAGCCATGGAATTCACCTCATCAACAAGCACCAACACTGTATTGGAGCAGGCGGAGGAAGACTAGGGGTCTTACACACCTCTGTTGTTGCTTGGCTTCCCAGGGCTAGAGGCAAGGAGGGGGAGCTGGCCATCATGTTGGGGTCTGGGGTGGTGGGATGCTTTGCTCAGCATTGGGCGGGGGAGCCTGCTCATCAGCACCCCAGCAGAAAGGGGCAAACTCTGGGAACCGGAGATGGTTGTACCCAATGTGCAGCAGTACCAGGACCAGAGTGAATAGGGTGTGTATGGGGAGCATGAGTGGGTATCAAGCATTCATTTTTGTAAGTCTTAGGTTGTATGTGTATGTGTGAGCATGAGGGAGGGAGTGTGTGACTGTGCTTGTGTATGACTGAATATGTCAGGTGGGGTCTTGGACTCCTCCCTGCTCCTCTGACTTCTTGTGCTACTAGACATCTTCGCCTACCCTCCCCCTGCCACATTTGGTGTGGAGTGTGGTGCCTTGGTCTGCTCCCGGGTCAGGGGGTTTAAGATTTTTGCCATCTGCCTGATAAATCCCGGTGGCTGCCTGGTGGGATCTGAGTCCCTGGGCTCTGTAAGGTGCCCGGCGGGGCTGGTCGCCCCTGGGTCCCGGGTAACTGGGTTCTGGGCTCGGCTGACTAGGGGGTGGGAGGCTGCGGGCGGGCCTGTGGGCTTGCCGCTGATATCTCCCGGGACTCTGCTGGCTACTGGTTGTGTCCCCCCGGGGCGATCCTCTGCTCCTCTCAAGGGGGGCGGGGGCTTTTCTGGTTACAGTCTCCCTGGGGTTCCTGTGCTCTGGGACAGCTCCTGGATCTCTGGGACTTGGAGCTCCCTCCTTCTCCTACACATCTTTGGGGGGCAGATCTGTGGTCCCTCACACTCTATTGGACGCTCCTATAGAGAAACCTTACATGGACAAGCATCAATTCTGTTTGCTTCACAGCCAGACAGGACTCGGGGGGAAATAAATAAATAAATACTGCATCTGCACTGTATCTGCACCACATCCATATCGCATCCGTACTGCATTTAATGCGAAAGAGGCTTGAGTCTCATAGATGTGAACTTTTCTTGTTATTACTTTAAATTCTGACCAAGTCAAGGAGAGGTTCAGCAACTGTCATGTCATCTGCACATCAAAGGGAACATTTTTGTAGGTCAGTGACACTACAGGGCTAAAACCCATGCGTTTTTCAACTCTTTTAAGGCCACGTCTTTGGGCCATTGCCAGAAACCTGCTTTAGTTAACAATGGATGAGCTCTCTGACAACGAGGTGGCTTTATGTGAATCTGCGGGGACACCCAGGAGCAGCCGCTGTTTGATTATGCAAAAGTGGCTTAAACAAGATCTTCCTTTACTTTATCTCCAACGGTTCAGCATACATGCCTCTTTAACCTTCCGCCCTACAGTCACAACTCTTGAAGCATGATGGCGGTTTCTGGGCAGACTCGGTGATCCTCTTGGTGTGGCGATGATAGTAACACAAGAACATGGTGATACTGTCTGTCACTATCACTGCAGGTTCCTTTGGGCCACAACTCTGTAGGGATTTCAGGATTATCACTCAACCTCACTTTTGCTGTCCACCTTGCAGTAGCATACCAGTTATTTGACGGATCCGCTCACACGGTGGGAAATGTGTGTGTCCACATGTTTTTGTGTTATTTTGTTTTGGTGCACAAGTGTTAGTCCTGGCTGCGGCTGAATTTCTTGAAGAGGAAAAACGGAGTCTTCTGAGGTGGGCCCAGTAACATAGGGACGTGGTTTTTATGGGTGATCCTAACCTGTAAGAATTACAAAGGCAGAAGTGAGGAAATATGGTTTCTTTGTTGGAGGGCTTACAAGTCTGACAGTCACACTTTATTTTTTACAACAAAATAAACCTCTGTGGCCTTGAAATATCTAACATTAGGAAGCTCTTGTACCATGACAGTAAATTTAGTCCCTCCCGTGAGATTAACAATGTGCAGAAATTTTAATGCAATTAAAATGTTGGAGGGTCAAGTGGAGGGGGTGTCGAAGGTATTGGTGAACAAAAAGCCACGAAAGGAGAAAAGCCATGTAATCAACCTTGTGTGGCACACAGCTGACTGTGTTAGTATAGAAATAGGAGTCTGCTCGGATCTATCCGGATGAGATACGTCTTTCTGGGCCTGAAACTGGCAGGTCCAGCTGTTAGAGCTGAATGTGAAAAGGAGTTTCAGAAAACTGGTCTTCATGGAAACATAAACTGAGGAGGTGATGTGAACTCTCACCGAACAGGGGGGCTGCATCCAGGGCTCGCCATCTATCTGCATCGGTAGACGGCGGGATGTCCTGTAAAAAGACAGCCAGAGGAAGAAGGCCTAAAGATGGAGGTGGAGAGCAAGAGTTTGGAGCAGGGGTTGTAAAAATTAGCTAGAACAAAATTCTAAGGGCCTGCTAACACTGTTCCAGAGCAGGTTAGACACTGTTTCCTTTGTTCCCATGAGAGCAGTTCCCAGACAGGCTTTAATCCCACAGACCCACTGTACACACACACACACACACACACACACACACACACACACACACACACACACACACACACACACACACACACACACACACACACACACACACACACACACACACACACACACACACACACACACACACACACACAGGAATTGGTTTAAGACTTTCATGTACGCCTCTGTGACTGAACAAACACATTGTGGGAGAATAGCTGTGAAAAACTCTGCTTTAATTCAGGCCTTTGAAACATTTGGGGGCGTGTCTCTGAACACGTTTGTGGAAAATCACCTCTGCTGCACCAACAGACACACCATGGGAGGTTGAAGATGCAACAAAACATCTAAATTAAAGTGAAGCTCACTCTTGCATTTCGACAAAACGTAAGTTTGTGACTCCCTTTCAAGCACACTTTATTGTATCTGAATCACAAAATAAGGAAACAACAGAAATTGTTTGTTGGCAGTTTCTTTGTCCTAGCTCTCTGCATTAAATTCATTATTTGTCTTCAAAGAACAACACCTTCATGGCCCTAAAGACACATTTGTTTATTATCTGAGTGCATTGAGTGCATCACCACAATCAGTGAGACTGCTTCATTTAGGGGAAAACTGCGGTGCTGTGATAAATATGCTGCATTTAAAATTGGTAAAGAGAAAAATGAAACACTTTAAACACCTGGACACACGCATCAGTTTAGAGGAAAATATTCCCAAATTGGCAGCAGGTAGATTATTTGTCAGGATTCCAGGCCAAAGCATTTAAGGAGCTCCAGGACTTGGGTGTAGGTCTGGAAGCAAAGCTCCGAGTCAGCTCAGAAGTTCACCCCGAAGCCCGTGTGGCTAAGATATATAATTTACCACCTAGTAGCAAATTAAGGTTTGGATTCAAATGCATGAAACCTCTGGAGGAATACATTTTTTATTGTACATGTTCAGAAAATGTTCTAGTTGCTTAACTTTGGAGACAAAGAGGGAGCCGTGATGGGAGACAGCAAAAGCCCCAAATCAGAAGGATGAGCAGGATTCAAATGTGGTGAAAACAGGAAGCAGCAGCTAACCTGATGATCACACTGGTACACTGAGCAAGTCTGCGTCCAGCACTCTTCAGCCCAGTGTAGATCTGTCCCATCTCTATGGCCCCTTCCAGACCAACCACCTCCAGCAGCTGGTCGCTGAAGTCTGGATAATCACAGAGACAAGAGGACAAATTCCTGCAAGTTTAACAGCATTAAAAACAGTCTAGGTGGGACAACTTTCAGAACTCACAAACAGGCGTTCCACAAGGTCTTACCTTAGGACCAGCATCTTTCCTACAACTTTAATGACATATGTGGCAAATGTAAGTATGTTCAGGGCCAGATTAACAAGCTTCAAAGGTGTCTCGATGGTATACAGTCATATCACAATCACATACTAGAGAACTATATCAGGAACAAGTCCATAACCATCTATATGCTGACAATTGCCAGGTCATTTTTCCAATTAGGCGTGGTGGTTTCTGCACCATTAAACCTTTGTTGGACTGCCTGGAGGACATCAAGCTATAGTTGGCTCAGAACTACTTGTGTTTCAACAAAAACAAGACTGAAGTAATTCCGTTTACTCCACCAAAGACCCTAGGAGGTGCCCATGGGCTTGATTTTTCCACACTGGCACAGCATCAGAAGGCGGTGGTCACTAACCTAGGGGTAAAGTTGGACGCAGAGCTCAGATTTGATGCTCAAGTGAACGGAATCGTGAGATCTTGCTTCTTTCGTCTACGCCATGAAGCGAAAATTAAGGCATTGCTGTCACATAATCATTTGGAAACTGTGATCCATGCCTTTGTCACCTGCAGGCTGGATTATTGCAACTCGCTATATGCGGGGCTTAGGCAAGCTCCAATAGCACGCCTCCAGGCGGTTCAGAACTCGGCTGCTCATTTGTTAACATCTACCAGGAGGTCTGAACATATTACACCAGTTCTACGTGCCTTGCATTGGCTCCCTAGCTCCTACTGCATCAGGTTTAAGGTAATCCTGTTTGTGTTTAGGGCGTTAAACTCAGGGGTACCTAAATACCTTTCTGACATCATCCACTGGCATGTCCCAGTGCGTTCCCTTAGGTCAGCTGACCAGAGACTATTAACTGTGCCCAGGTACAGCCTGAAGTCTCGTGGGAGTCGTGCCTTTTCAGTGCTCGGACCAAGTCTTTGGAATGAGCTGCCAGCCGATATAAAGCAGGCCAAATCACTGGAGGCCTTTAAAAGCCGACTAAAAACACATCTGTTCTTGTTGGCGTTTGGATATTGTCGTTGGCATTGTGTGGGCAGCATCACTTTGAATGTGTGGATCTGATTCTGGAAACAGGACTGATATGGATTGCGAACTTGTACTCGGGATTTCTCATTGTATTTTAAATGGTTATATGTCTGTTTTATTGTTGTGCTTGTTATTGGTGTACAGCACTTTGTCCGTTTTGGGCACGTGAAAGCGCTTTATAAATAAAGTTGATTTGATTTGATTAAAAACAATGTTTTTTTGTCCTATAAAATCACACCTACAATGACATATATATTTATATCTGCATGCCACGATTGTGACACACCCATCCTGCTGTGTGACTGCTCATGTCTGTGAAACTCGATCAGTTTTTAAACCACCGATCCCTGAACACCTTACATCACTGAGTGATAAAAATATAACAAGAATACAAGATGAATCATTTTTACATTTTAGAAAGCTTTTACAGTTTTCATTTGTGAAGAGTTTCAAACCGATTAACAGCCTTGTTTCAGAGAAAGTGAGCACCATTACTTAGAAACATCTGCAGCACAGAAGTCAAAAGTGAAATAGTGAAGTACAAAACATCATTAGGTTAATCTTTGTCTTTTGTTTAGAGGTTCCCAGATCTGAAACAGTTGACCATCACACACATGACTACACACATACCTGTAACCCCTGTGAAATTCAATGGTATCATCTGCACAGCAGTGACTCAGGACCAGGTTGTCGCTACAGGAAAAAGGTCCTCTCTCTGGAGGCCACTCTATGATTTTTGTGACTTTGATCAAAAATTAATATTTTCTGTCTGAGAGAGGATATGCCTATGTCTATGATGAGCTAGTGGAGTAACAAGCGCGGTGCCTCCATGACACAGTGAAGTTAATTCTGAAGTCAGCGTGCTAAACCACTAATCCTGCTAGTAGTAGAGGCTTTAAAGCGTGTAAACGACTGTAAACAGTGACTTATGTTGTGGGAATAGCCCTCTCAGGAGAGTTTGTCTGAAGCAACAGATGAAATCAGCTGAGAATCCATGAGGGCTGAAGGTCAGACACGGTGGGGAATCCCCCCCCCCCAGACACACACACAAACAAACCATGATGTCCTCTCATGACTCAACATGCAGAATCAGCCTCAGATAGACCCAGAATAGAGTAGATGTGTCCACACTGAATGAATGAGTGTCCACTGCGTTGACGGGTGTAACATTGAAAGTTAGGGATGGGTACCGAATTCGGTACTTTTTAAGGTACCGACCGAATTCCACAGTACCGACCGAGCACCGATTCACGTCATTTGAAACTGTGCCTTTTTTCGGTACCGTCCTTCACAACGAGAACTTGCCTAGACAGCTGCGCATGCGTAAGAGCGTTATGTCATCGGTGGCTGCGAGCCAGTTGTAAACAGAGCAGTATGGTAGAAAGAACGCACGCTAAAGCTTGGGTCCACTTCACTAAATGTGATGGGTAACTGGGTGATGATGAAACCAGCGACAACGATCTAAGTGAGACATCCTCATCTTAATCTGCCCCGGTAGGTAAATAAAATGTTTAAGATAACGTTAGCTTGATATGTTAGCTTCAGTTTCGCTAATGGTGCGTTCGCTTTCTCCTTGGAACTCTGAATTTCTGACTAGAAGAACATGAACGCGCTCTAAAGTTTGGCTTCACTTTACTAAATGCGACGGGTTATTAGGTGAAGATGAAACCAGCGACAACGATCTAAGTGTGAGGCATCATTGTTTAAAAATACTCCAGCAGTTAAATAAACTGTTTAAGATAACGTTAGCTTGATATGTTAGCTTCCATTGCCACCATTGTTATCAGCTAATGGTGTGTTCGCTTTCTCCTCGGAAATTCTAACTTCCCAGTAGGAAAAATCAAATGAAAAAAGATGGCAAAAGGAATGAAGATACACAGTAAATCTAGTTCACAGTAAAGATGTTTGCTTCAGTTTAATTATCAGCTTATAAAACTACAAGGACGATGTTAAAATACAAACAGTTGTATGTTATTTATTGTGATATTTATCAAACATGGTTATAAATTGAGAAAAATATATATTGATTTATAAAAGAGAATTAAAATATTAAACACTCAAAAGTATCGAAAATTGGTACCGTTACGTACCGGTATCGATTCCTAGGTACCAGGAAATAGTACCGGATTGATTCAAATGTCAAAGGTACCCATCCCTATCGACAGTCAACATTTATAGAACGCCATCATAAGGGTCAGGGATGATGCCACCTCAGAGTTCCCTGTGGTTCACTGAAAAACATTTTTAATGATTATTTCTGATTATAATGGGTCACTCTGAGCTTTTCATGCAAGCTGAACATGAAAATAGTCTCCTACACCTTTCTCCTTCTTTAGCTTTTTAGAGGAAATAGACGGTGAAACTCTGGGATTTGGAAAGCCGTACTGTAGAGTTGCTACTGCCCGTTTTGCATTTGAAGTGAAATCTTTTTAAACTGTAGCCTGCAGCGTCACCAGTCCCAAGGCTTTAGATGCTGCATGCAGCTCTGACAGGCTAAGTCCAGCACTGCTGCCTGCCTTACTCAAACCACAGGCTATGTGTTCCTGCTACAGTGTCAACAATGTTAATAATTTCCCAACATTGTCAACGCTCACTTGGGTTGTTGGCTTTGTTGCAAACCACAAGCAGGAAGCATTGGTGCATGTGTGTTTTGCTACAAGGACATTGTGTTTGCAAAAGGTTCATGACGTGTAATGGGTCTGACTCATGCTGGTCCGTAGCATGAGTCCAAGAGAGAAGGGATGTAAACAAGAAACAAGTAGACCCCTCCTCCCAACCACGGTGAGAGGAGATATTTTGTCTTTTATAATCAGAATAAAGTTTTTTTCATGGTGTTAAGCTGCAACCTGTTGTGAGAGACAATCTGATCCGTTCAAATATGGCCCATAAAACCAAATCACCGAGCTGGAAGATGCTCTAGTTCATATATGACTGATTCTCTACAACAAACAAGGATAGTACAATGGTGTGGACATTTTTAATTGATGGATAATTTGCTACCAGATTCTTTAAATCCTGCTTCCAAGAAAAGCACTGAGGCCATAATCTGACAGCTCCAGCACCTGATCAGGAGTTCTTGTGCTGTGACTGCAACACACACACAGCCCCATGACTGACTCTGCACAGCTTTGTGGGAAATAATTATAATAGGATTGGACATCGATAAAAGGCGGAAAGTTGGAGGCTGAGGGACAAAGAGGAGGGTGGTGGTAGACACACAGGGGATACAGCAGATCAGACGGGGGAACGGCCACCATCTGTCACGGTTTTTGCATCAAACTGTTAGTTCACTGGTTTGAGGACAGATGCTGTAAATAAACATACGAAGCATTATTTCAGGATACAGCACTATTTATAATCTGGTTTCATGTTGTACTATCAAACATACCCCCCTCCCCCGTAGACCCACCTGTAGCGTCCAGCAATGGTCAGTTAATGTACAGCCTGACCTTTCAACATCTATTCAACATCTGGTCAGAAAGGAGACACAACACTGTATGTGTTCCCTTTAAATGAGCAAGCCTTCAAACCAGCTGGGACTCACAGACGCTGCAGCTCTGAAAGATAAACAATAACTTTCTTTCCCAAGGTCCCATCTGTCTGCCTCCACAGAAGGAACAACTCCTGCTCGAATCAATTGCTAAATTCAAGAATGATTTACTAAATCAATATGAACTTCTTCCATGACTCATAATCTAGATAATCATTAAATAAATATTTGTTTATTACTACTTATAATAATTATAGTATAATGAAATGCTTCATTCATCTGTGCTCACTGAATGGATGTTATGTGTGTCTACTAGAACCTGCCATGTGTTCACCATGTTTAGACGACGAGGTCCTCACACCTGCACTCACACCATAACAAGTGAGGTT